CTCTATTGAAAAGAACCGCTGGGAAAACCAGAAAGCAGTTTGGCGTAAAGTAGGTTTAGACAGAATTTTACAATATGTATCATCATCATCAACTCCAAATGGAAAGTGAACTAAGTGTAAAAAGTCATGTCATTAAAAAATGAGAGAGCAGAAGGAGGTGCCTTTCAAATCTCTGGTTAGGAGGAGAATTCAATAACGAAGACTACAAAAGTCTGAATAAACAATCTTGATCATATAAAATTAAAAAGCTTTTATATGAATAAAAGCAAGGCAACTAAAAGAAACCACCTAGTAGGGGGAAAATATCTGCATGGAGTTATTTTCATAAAGTATACTATTAAAACCATATAAAGAATTGACACGAATGCATACACACATGGATAAGAGGTATTTCCCTAAAGATAAATTGTCAAAGTATCAGTTTTCAGACAAAGGCAGGCTATCTGCAACCATATTAGAAAAAAAAATTCTCCAAAACACTTTTGTTAGGGAAATTTAAAGCCACTCTGAGGTTTCACCTCATCAAATTGGCAAAAATTATATGCAATAAGTCAACACTGTTGGGTCTGTGGGAAGTCAGGCACCCTAATACACCAACGAATAAGCTGTGAGTTCGTTTCAACTGTTCTAGAAAATGATTTGGAAATATGTGAGAAAAATTACTAAACTATGTACACCCTTTGACCTAGTGAGCCTATTACTCCATACACAACACAAAGAGATTGAGAGAAAGGAAGGCCCCAGACACACCAAAGTATTCATAGCAATACTTTTTTTTCTTTTTGTAAGAGTAAAGAACTGGGAACAAAGTGGGTGCCCATCGCCTGGAGGATGGCTATACAAATTGTGGTGTATAAATATAGTAGAATATTACTGTGCTGCATTAAACAACAAACATCTTAGAAACATGAGGAGATGTTACAGGAAGTACAAAGGAAAAAGAGACAAGAGGATGAAATATCAAGAGATTATTTTCATCAATGATACTGTTGATGAAGAAACAATTGAAGGTATCCGATTTCAGGTCAAATGCAATGACCAATCTAGTGGAAAAGGACTGAATGATGATGAAGGGGTAAAGAGGTGATGGCTGAACTATATGTGTAGAGTGTTACATACACCATTAGAAATGGCTGTTGTACAGCTTGACTGTTTTTTGTTACATGAGAGAGTTCTATATGAGATCCTTGAGGACAGGGACTGTCTACTCTACTATCTGTTTCCCGAGAGCTTTGCACGGTGGATGGCATACAGCAAGTATTTAATAAATGCTTTTCAACTAATTAATTCTTTAATTCATTCATTCATGCAGGGGGTGTTCCTGGGAGGTGACAGTGCTTTAAAGACTAAAAAACATCAATCGAACAATTAAAAAGATTAAAGTAGTTATGGTATACAGGCACTTAAGTGTAACATACATATGGGTATGTACATATATACATGCATATAGACATATATGTGTACATATACATAGTTACCACAAAGACATATGTATCTATATGTGTAGATATACACGTGTGTACACATACATATATAAACATATAGATGACATAAAGATTACGTGTATGTATATGTATATATACACACACACATAAAATTCTATGTCATCTATAAGTTTCTGGCCCTCTTTACTTCTCAAGGCTATACATGCTAACATTGTTTTCCCATCCTCTCTCATCCCTACTTTTGCACTGAAGTCACCAACCACTAAAGGACAAGTTGATATAGCTTGAAGGGTCTTATGAAGGTCCCTCTGGGATTTCTTTGCATCTCCATCTTGGGTAAGAGATGTTGGCACATGAGCTCCAACTATCTTTTTTGTTCTCACTCATCATGATAGGAGATGATCAAATGTCTCAGGGTTTTTCCTGAAACCTTTGCAGACACTATAAAATCAGCTCCTTCATCTGCCTCTTCAGGGAGAACCTGAGAACCATGCTCCTGTCGTCTCCCATTGGAAGCTCCTTGAGGGCAGGGGCTCTCTTTTGTCTTGCTTTGTACCCCCACTTTTTAGCAAGGGGCCTGGTATCTAGTAGGCACTTAATAAATGCTAATTAACTGGCTCCCGTATAAGAAGAGCTTCCTTACATTCCTGGTTTCATTTTTGGTGAGCAGGTCCTCCGTGAGTAGGTCTGTTGGACAAGGACCTCCCCAGGATGGGACGAACAGTTAATATTTCATGATGGTCTAAAAAGTGTATAATTCTTGGCACCCTCTGTCCTCTGCTCCACTCCTTGGCCATTATTACTAATTTGGTCATTTTCTCTATTTCAGGAGTTGCGATGGCCAAAGAATCAGTCACCAAATTGTGACAAACCTCTAGCTGGCCTGGTTCCTGGAAAACATAAGCAGTGTATCAATGGCACCCTCAATGGAACCGTCCCAGTGGGGCAGGATCTGCCCAGGCTGGAGCTCTGTTGGGAGGGACCCTCAGACCACACAGAGGTACCAGGAGGATGACTTTCGTAGAGGGTAAACGTTACTATGCTACAAAAATCAGAAGTAACTATTATTTCCCTCGTCCCACCCCCATTCTGGGGTATTAGTATTTACATAGGAGTACTCCTGCAGATTTACAGGAGATAGCTACAGTGGGAGAATTTATAGCACAAAGATCACCAATGGGGGATGCTAACTGTATATCCTTCATATCCTAACATATCCCTGCCCTCAAAGAGCTGACATGGAAGGGCAACAGAAGCGTGGTTCTCCCTAGAGAGGCAGATGAAGAAGTTGATTGTATAATATATCTAAAAGTTTCAGGAAAAAAAACCCTTCCTGAGACATTTGGCTAAATCCTATAGTGATAAGAGCAAAAGATGACCAAAATGATTGTTGAAGCTTGTGTGTCAACCTCTCTCGCCCAGGAAGAAGACAGAGGTAGTGGGCTACTAGGCACACTCTGAGGGCCTTGCTCTACTCCTTACTTCCCAAGTGTGACCTCAGATAAGTCTCTCAAGTCAACAAGCGTTTATTAAGCCCCCACTGTGTTCCAAATATAATGCTAAGTATTGGGGATACAAAAAAAAGCAAAAACCAGCTGAGTCTTGTAAATAAGGTCACAGATCTTGAGAGAGATGAAATCTCAGGGGCCACCTAATCCAACCCCATTCATTTTGGAAACTGAGGCCCAGAGAATTTAAGTAATTAATCCAAGGTCACCCAGGTAGAAAGCTGTCAAGGCTGGCATTTGAAACCATGTCCTTAAACTCCAAATCAAAAATATTGCGTCCTTATTCTGTCTGGCTATAAGTGAAATTATCATGAAAGAAAAATATCAAATTAGCAGCACATAGGCCCTCTGGGAAAGCCCAGCCTAGCTCCACTCTCAATTCCCAAGGGGAGCAACATAAGACCAGGTCTACAGTCCACCATTTATTTACAACTGAGATGGGGCATGTGTGGCTTTGGGGTGTGTCCACATAAGAGAAGTAACAAATTTTTGTTTTTATAGTATCTATGTGGGACACAGTACATAGAATGTGTTGGTCAAATAACGAAAACAATGTCATTTTTATTTTAAAAATAAAAATGACTGCACCTTCTCACCTCCCCCCCACCCCAAGCATTCTAAAAACATAGACACTATTCAAGTGAAAGGGATTTTTAGGGCCACTGTCTTCTCACTTGACCCTCCACTGCCTTCTGTTAAACAAAGGGGTTGGACGAGATGAAATTTACCGGGTTCGTTCTGGGGTCTCACATGCTATGGAGGCTACTTGGAATTGTGGGAATAGTAGTGGGATTGACCTTAGCTCTGAAACTGGAAAGGACCTAGGGGTAAGGAGTAGAGCAGGGACCTCAGGGTTCACCCAGTATAACTCCTTCATTTTATAAACGTCTGAGGAAACTGAGGCTCAGAGAAGTCAAGTGACTTATCAGTGGTTACACAATAGCATAGCAGAGACCTTAGAGATCACCCTTTGCAATCCCCTCTTTTTACAGAGGGAGAAACTGAGGATCAGAGAAGCTATGGGATCTGCCCCAGGGGCAGAGCTGGGTTTCAGACCTAGATCCTTCTGTCCCCACGTCCAGGCTTTCTACAAAACCAGTTGTCTCTCATTGGAGGTTGGAGACTCTAAACATATGGGCACAGATGATGTTGGGGAGGAGTCAGAAGAGTAGTGATGGACAATAAGGACTTCAGGGTACACCTAGTCCTATCATTTTCTTTCAGGAAACCAAGACGCAGGGAAGAGAAGAGATTTGCCCAAGGTCACACCAGTAGTAAGTGTCAGAGGCAGAGCTGGAAACTCTGACCTTGTATGACCTTGGCTGAAGTTTCTTCCCTTCTCTGGGCCTCAGTCTCCTCAACTGTAAAATGAGAGAGATAGGCTAGACCAACCAAAAGCTCTTTTTCAGCTCTAAATCTATGAGCCTATGATCTGGGATTCTTTTCCCAAAACTCTAAGTTAATTTGTTATCTTGTCTTTTCTCACAAATTCAAATAATCATCACTGTGGTTGGGTAGGCAGAGGGAAACTACGTTTCCCTCATTTTGAGGGTGCTCCTCTGTTGGGACCTCGGATAGCTTTCCAAGGTCACCCAGACATCAAATAAATCAGTCTCTCTCTCTCTCTCTCTTTCTCTCTGCTTTAATTCAATACTTCATTTTCAGTTCCAAATTCTCTCTCCTCTTCCCCTTCCCCCATTGAAAAGGCAAGAAAAATAAAAACCATTATAAATATGTATAGACATGCAAAACAAATTTCCTTATTAGCCATGTTCTAAGAAAAAAGAAAGAAACAGAAGAAAATTGGCTTCCATAAGGCCTCTGAGTCCATCAGTATGTTTTCCTGGAGATGGATAGCATGTTTCATTCAAATAAGTCTCTCAACCTCTCTAGGCCTCAGTTTCCTCATGTGTAAAATGAGGGGCTTGGAGTAAGTGACTCCTGAGGTCCTCTCCATCTCTAAAATCCAGCTCTAACTATCTGTGAGCCCATGAATTGTGGCTTGGCTCCTGACCTCTCCCATGCCTTGGAATCCTCGGGAGCTTACCTGGTAAGGGATGGAGTCCGGTGGGTAGGGTTGGGGCAGAAGAGGTTGTTGGATTTACGTGTGCCGTCTAGGAAATCCTTGGCAGATTCTTTTCTCAGCTCCTCCACAGCCCTTGCCTCATGCTTCACAAACCACTGGTGGGCTTCGAAACACCTGGTACAGATGAGCTGCTCACACTCAAAACACCAGAAATCAGCCGGTTCCCTGCAGCGGTTACAAGACGCTCCGGACCCACCCTGGATGATGTTTTGGTAGACAGAAATCCGTCGCTGCAGGCTCTCAAAGAAGAGGTTGTCCATGGAGCGTAGGTTGTTGTCTAGGGCATGGGAGTCCTGGCAGACAGGGCATTGCCCGGCCGGCTTGTGGCTCTCCAAGCAGTTAGAGCAGATGGTGTGTAAGCAGGATAGGAGTTTGGGACATTTGGATTCTGATTTACAGCTGTGACACAGCAGGAAGCAAAACTCCTTGCTTACGTCCTGGATGGGGAGAACATCAAACAGTCATAAGAGACGCCAGAGGTCATCTGCTCCCCACGCCCCAGGGTCACACCCTCAACCAGGCAGGACTAGATGGGGAGCTCATAAGGATCACGGGACTGCCAAGGCAAGCTAGTTCAACCCCCTCATTGTAGAGAGAAGGAAATGGAGGACCTGGAGGAAAAGCGATTTGTCCAAGGTCAGAGGTGGGACTGGAACCCAGGCCCTCTCACTCAGAACCATAGATCTTTACCACTTGACAGTTTCTATTTTCAGTACCCCTGAGAGAGGCAACCAAGGAGATTCCATAGGAAAGATGGCTGAATTTGAAGCCAGAGGACCCAGGTTCAAATTGCAACTCTCTTACTTCTTGTATGGCCTAAATTGAGTCTCTTCACCTGCCTTGGCCCATTTCCTCCTTCATGAAACCAGGGGATTGGTCCTTTCCAGAGCTTTTATCAAATGAGGTAATATGTGCAAAGCTCTTAGCACAGTGCCCGGTCCAAGGAGGCAATTCATAGATACTTATTCCTTTCACTTCCCTTCCCCTTTACCCCTAAACCTATAATGCTGGAATCATTGATTATCACTAACCTAAATTTTTCTTACTCTATAACTTATGCTTCTCTCCTTTTATTTGAGAGATGGAGAACAATTAGGCAGAATCTTCTAGAAATTAGCTCTACAGTCCTGAAGGAAATTCATGGGTAGTCTTTTCATGTCCTGGTAAGGAAAACTGTAAAGAACACTGGACTAGGAATCCAGTCTGGGTTCTTGTCCTCCTGCTGGAGGTAGCTCAAACCAACTCTAGTGAGTCAATTGTTAAATTTTCAGTGTGAACATTTATGCTGTAGAATCAGGAAGTGCTGATTTGTTATTTGATTATTTTTAGACTTAAAAATCAGGAAATGCTACAAATTGGGCTTGATTTATTGTTCGATTTTCTAGACTTAAAAATTCAGCAAATGCTACAGATCAGGGCTTAATTTGTTCTTTGGTTGATTGTCTAGACAAGGGATGGGGAACCTGTGGCCTCGATTCCCCACCCCTGTTCTAGACTTAAGAGAGTGCTGGAGAAAATGTTAATAATGCAGATTAAACTTAAAAGTCTGTTGTATGTACCTTGGGGAGGGGGGAGCCTGTTGTTATTTACCACTACTTTGCTGTCCCTCTGACACTTACTAGTTGTGTGACCTTGGACAGACCACTTAACCTCCCTCAAACTCAAGTTTCCCAAGTTGGAAAATTAGGGGGTTGAATTAGATGATTTGCCTTCCAGATCTAATATACTGAGAGCCTGTAATTTCTCTTGAGGAGTAAGAGTGGTAGAAATGTGTCTACACTGTCAATGCAAGGGTGAGTATGGGAGTGGGGGAAAATACAGAGGTTAGGTTAATTGCTAAACCTAATGTCCTTTCCTTGATCTTCACTCCTCTTGACCTCAGGAGAGCATTTGATACCATTGATCATGTTTTCTTCCTCAATTCTCTATACTCTCTGGGTGTTCCCAATACTGCTCTTTTCTCTTCCCTCCCCTAATCTTTCCCCTCTCTCTGTCTCTATCCTGGGCCTTCTTCTCTCTTTACACTCTCTCTTGTTTCTACATGTTCAATTATTCCATTTATTCAGATTTACTCAGCTAGCCAGCTCCTGGCTCTCTCCTGAGGTAAAGTCTGATCTTGCCCTTTCTACTTCCTGAGTCTTTCTCCCTTTCTCTCTGCTCACACAATCATCACCACGCTAGGGCAGGCCTCATCGCCTCTAACCTGGACCTGGATGCTATAGCATCCTAATTGATCTGCATGCCTCAAATGTCTCCCTTCTCCAATCGATTCTCCTCCCCACCTCCAACTAAAAACAACCCTCTAGAGGGTTCCTATTACCTCCAGGATAAAATGTAAGTCTCTGTTTAGCATTTAAAGCTCTTGGCTAGCTGGCCCCTACCTTTCCTGCCTCATTATACATTACTATCAACCCACACACTCTACAGTAATAGCCAAACTGGCCTGGCTGTGCCTCCCACCTCCCACCTCAGTGTCTTTGCATAGTCTCTTCCTAGTATCAGAATGCACTCCTTCCTCAATTGTACCTCCTGGAATCCCTGGTTTCTTTCAAGATTCAGCTCAAGTCCTGGGGTCCCCGAAGCTCCTGGTACCTTCCCCACTGAGGTGCCTTGTACCTGTTTGGTATATCCCTATACTGATGTATACTGTCTCTAGTTTGTTTCCCCCTCCTCCCACAATGTAAGCTCTGAGAGCTGGGGCTGTGTTCCGTTTCTACCTTCAGTGCCTGAAACACAGTTTGATGATTGACTGGTACTGGTACCTAACCTCCAGTCCCCGCCATAAAGTAACCTGGATGCCCTACTAAATTTACAGAGAGATTTCTAGGCTCTTTTAGAGATCAAGTCCAACCCCAGCCCCCTCATTTGACAGAAAGGGAAACTGAGTCCCAAGGTCACAAAACTAGGACAGAACAGATTGAAGATGAAAACTCCTATCTCCTGGTCTAGTTAAGGGAGAACTGACTCCAAAGTCAGAAGGCCTGGGTTCAAATCTTACCTCTGCTGCTCGCCTTTGTGAGCCCTTAACCTCTTCAGGATGTTTTCTTCAGGTATAAAATAAAGTGGTTTTAACTGGCTGGATTCAGAGGTTCCTTCCAATCCTACATTGATGATTTTACCACTCCCTAAGCCTTAGACCAGGGCTCTTTCCTTCCTAGTCCCTAAAAGCAGCTAGGGAGGTGAAGACAGAGCACTGGATGTGGAGTCCAGAAGTTGTTCAGTCACTTTTCAGTCATGTCTGATTCTTGTGACCCCATCTGAGGTTATCTTGGCAGAGTTACTGGCGTGGCTTGTCATCTCCTTCTCCAGCTCATTTTACAGATGAGGAAACTGAGGCAAACAGGATGAAGTGACTTGCCTAGGATCACACAGCTACTATGTATCTGAGGTCAGATTTGAACTCAGGAAGATGAGTTTTCCTGACTCTATCCCAGCACTCTATTCACTGTACCACCGAGTTGCCCATGGAGTCAGGAAGACGAGTTCAAATTCTACCTTGGACACCTACTAGCTGTAAGACCCTGGGCAAGTGACTTCAGCTGTTTCCCTTAGTTTCTTCCTGTCTAAAGTGGCAATAATAATAGCACCTACTTCCCAGGGCTTTTTCCAGGGTGAATCAAATGAGACAATGATTGTAAAGCACTTAGTATAACTCCTGGCACATAATAGATATTACTTACATGCTAGTGATTACTCTTACTGTTATTATATGAAATAATAACCGTAAAGCACTCAGCAGTGTCTGGCACACAGTAAGTGTTATATACATATTATTGTTGTTACTTCAAATCCTTGGACAATCAGTAATTGAGTGACCTAGGGCAAGTCACTTAACTCTGTCCACCTCAGTTGCCTTAGCAGTAAAAAGGGAGTGCTAATAATACCTTCTACAGTGGTTGTGAAGCTCAACTGAGATATTTGCAGAGCGCTCAGTACAGTGCCTGGGCCACAGTAGATGCCATAGGCATGCTGGCTATTTTTATTCTTATTCGTAAAGCCTTTAGCACAGGGCCTGGCCCACAGTAGATGCTATACAAATGCTAGCTATCATCATTATTGTGGTTGAATGCCATGCTGTCTGTAAAGCGCCTGGTACATAGTAGGTGCTTCATCAAGGCGAATCCCTTCCCTTCTTGCCTCCCAGGTCCCCACCCTCCAGGTGAGTTACCTGGCCCCAGGTGCCTGCCCCCGCCCTCACCTCCATGGAGCTGGCGCTGGTTTTGGTGCCGCCGCTGGTGCTGGCTTCGGACTGGGTGGGAGTCACCGGGTCAGCGGGGAAGGACCAGGTGGAAGCCGTGGCCACCGACACCAGGATGGGAGGAGGAGGGGACGAAGGCGGAGGTGGGTCCGCCATCTGGTTGGGCCCAGTGGAGGTGGCGGGCTCCGCAGGCACGGAAAGCACCTCACGCTTTCGATTCTCAGCGGGTGACCTGGAAGAAGCAGGGCGGAGAGGGTCATAAGGACGCAGCGCGGGAAGCGCATTGGGGGAGCCCGGTATCTGGGAGGAGCACCCCGCTAGCCCTCCTACCCAGGAGGCTGGCGCTTTAGAACAGCGCAGCGAAGAAGAGGGGGGGCAGGGAGGGAGGAGGGAGGGAGGAGGGAGGGAGGAGGGGGACAGGGAAGGAGAGGGGAGGAAGGGAGAGAAGAGGAGGAAAGGGAGGCGCGAGCGGGAGGGAGTGAAGAAGAGGGAAGGGAGACGGGAGGAGGAGAGGGAGATAAAGAGGAGGAGGGGAAGATGGGAAAAGGAGGGAAAGGGAAGGAAGAGGGGGAAGATGAAGAAGAAGAAGGGGAGATGGGGACGAGGAAAAGGAAAGGAAAAAGGAGGGGGAGAAAGATAAAGAGGAGGAAGAGGAGGTGGGAGAAGAGGGAAAGGGAAGGAAAAGGAGGAAGAGAAGATAAAAGAGGAGTAGGGAGATAAGGGGAGAAGAGGAAGGAGATAAAAGAGAAGGGGAGGAGGAAGAAGAAGAGGAGGAAGGAAAAGAGGAAAAAGAGGAGGGGGAAGAAGGGAAGAAAAGGATGGAATAAAAAGGATAGGGAGGAAGGTAAACAGGAGGGAGAAAGGGGGAAGAGGGAGAGGAAGATGAGGAGGAAGGGGAAGGGGAAGAGGGGAAAGATAGGTTTGGCCCAATGGATACTGCAGGGGCCCCTGGCACTAGGCAGGCTCCAGGGAGGGGGCCTTGGGATGGATGCGGCTCACATTCCATCCAGCCAAAAATGACCAAGGGAAGAGACAGGTCCTGATGCTGATGCTGATGCTGATGCTGATGCTGATGCTGATGCTGAT